TTTCTTTCTTGCTTACACGGGTCGCTCTAGAATGTCAAGCTTTCTGATACTGGTAACACTGAAGTACCTGTGGTATGTACTGCTTTGGACTCTGCCTCCTCTTGTTCAGATAGACTTGGTCTGGTATGTCTTCGCACAATGTGGTGATACTGTAATTGTCGACAGGTTGCTTAGATCCGATCCTCTCTGCTTTTTAAAATCTGTTTCAGGTTCTCTTTCCTCAAGTGTTCTAGGATCTCTTGGTCGTTCCAGCGTAGGTTCACTCTCTGCACAACCCAGTGCCTGATGTTCTGGAACATAGTGGTAATCACCACCATTTCACTGGGAAGCTGCAGTGTCTCCTTGCCGTTCTTCTTGATTTCACTGATCAGGTTCGACGTGCTGTTTGTTCTGTTCAGCGTGGCAATCATGCTGTCTCTTTTTTCTTGATTTATGCCACCACATGCTTACCGAGTAAGCTTTCATGTATATTCACCAGCAATAGTGAGGTCATGACGGTGAGCGCCGTTTGATCAATGCTGGTCTGCCGGATGAATAAAGTGGCTGGGAAGTAAAGGCTGCCTGTCTTCTGTCTCTCAGGGGAGATGGATGGCTCTGGCAAGGCTAATATTGGTACGGGTTCTGGTGGAGTCGGCACGGTTGGTTCGGGAGAAACTGGCACATCACTTAGGGTCTCAGCAGTGGCCTGGGTGTCAGACTTCTTTGCTTCTCCAGCAGCTGCCTTTCCCTGGAGGCTGAGGCGAATTGTGTAGTGTGGCTGTTAAGCTGCCTCTATCCCACTTGGACTGCTGCCTCGTGCCATTAGGATGAGATGCTGGAACTAGCTGGTTGTGGACTGATTTGGTGATTTTGCCTCGCTTTCTGGATCTGGTGACAAAACTATAGCTTGGTCTCTAAAGGGCCAGAAAAGCCTGGTTGGGAATCCTGAAAAGGACTCCCAGGATGGGTTCCCAAGTGTTCAAGGCTATACTATCAGAAATAATGCTTTTTTACAAAAAGGCGACATACTAACCAGTCAAGACAGATTCAGCAGTATAATCAAGCGAATCAGAAATCAAAACAGAGCTATCGACAATCAGACAGTGAAATAATGCGTAGCCAGCGAGACGAGGCAGCTGCTTGCTATACGCTATCAGTGAGCGAAAGAATTAGTTTGGCTTACTAGGATCTGTGTCCTGGGGACGTAAATTTAGTCAGCATAATGCTGACCATATTACCCACCTATTGGTCAGTACAAATATGGTACTATTTCTATATGCCCGATATGCCTAAGGCATAAAAAGAAACCTTTAAGAAAAGTGACTAGGCAGCAAACCGACCATAGACTCTTGGACTAATGTGGCAACATTCACATTTATTTACAAAGGGTTCCAAAACCTAATGGACATGGCTGCATTAGTATTGACCTTGGGGAAGGGTGCTCACGTTTGCAGACGATGTGCTGGCATATAGACCTGGCAGGGATATGAAGATAATATCGGAGGAGCTACAGTGGGGTGGATAACAATGTTAACTGGTGTAGAGACGAGGACCTCTGATAAACCAAAAGCATCAACTTCATGGTGTTTATTGCAGATTTCAAAAGATCACAGTAAATGAAGTGGTCAAGATGGGAAAAACACTAAAAAATATGAGTTACAGAGGACTTCTATCAAGGACCACATTGATGCAGTCATCTTAGAAGCAAAGAGAGGCCTTAATGCACTCAATTTTATAGCTGCTGCAGGTGTGAAACAAGTGATGTTACACAGTCAATCAAGTCCTCTGCACAACATTGAATATGGTGTCAGGATTCTAAGCTTGTCAACAATTTAAATGGAGAAATTACAATGCATATAGATTAAAGCTATGGGAGCCATTCCATTATGCACGATGAACACACCATTTGTGTGTGTAAGACATATCCAGGCCACGCTGGTACTATAGAGTTGGAGGTGTTACAGAACTTACCCATCATGAGGAATTGAATATTGTGAAGGGTGACACTAAAGAAGGGCAATCCTGGATGGCCTAGGCTGAACAATCAACAGAGCCTACCCATAATTTCTCATGTTAAACTAGTGTACAATTTTATTAACTGCCCTTTCACTAAGTTTTACTGCAATAAGTATGAAATCCTCCTCTTTCAATTTTATTGACACCCCCCCCCCTTCCCCTCCCTTTCCCTAATGTATGTCCATATTTGCACTCTGGGAACAGTCACTGAGATCAGCAACATTTGAACTGCCAAACTAACTTTTTGTTTGTTTAAATACCTGAAGCATGTAGAAGACATGAAACTGGCATAGTGAAATCATTAAAGTATACAACGTCAACAAAATAGGTTGCACTGTGCTCCATAGCAGGACTTGGAAAAACAACGACATTCTTTACAAGTTCAATGTAAATATGATGAGCACTGAACTGACTTTCAACTGTTAATCCCTCATAGTCAAACTTAACACTTACAGTGTTAATGCACCCACTGCTGTATAAAAAACAAACAGCTGGTATCTTTAAACAATATTTTATTTCTGGTTGTATCACAAAGTGTAGGAACAAATATTTGTACATGACAATTTTAAATGTGTTGAACACATCCAAGGCAACTATAACACTAAGTCCCCCATGAATTGTCTCAAAACACAAACCAAATCTGGAAAATCTAACAAAACATGCAAACTAATCATGAAACAAGTAAATGCTGGCTATCTGTACAAGATAAGCAGCCATAAATCATGTGGATGGCAGGTGATTGATGAAATCTTGGTTTACATCTCCATACATAAGTGGGAGGCTTGTATTCATCTAATGGTTTCTACAGCACAAACTGCAAAACAAAACAACAAGACAACACAAAGTCAGGCTGCACTTCTGATATATATAGTACTAGCTGTACCCAGACACGCGTTGCTGTGGCTGTTTGGCTAAATGGAAAAGAAAGAAAAGAGAAATTGCAAGGTCTAATATGGTTAATGTCGCAATCATTGTCTGCGCAGATTTAGAGTTAGTCTTCTACTAAAATGGGGAGCAAGAATTGTAATGAGAAGTAAATGCAGCCAGTGTAATATTTATCACACCATCCTTTAAGTATCAGTACTACCACCACCACCCCCACATTAACTAAAATAATGTCACTACTATCTGTTTTACCATCAAAGTACACAGGGTTGTCATTAGCCAGAGGATTTGCCGCCGCATGGCTAATGCTGTCATCACGAACTGGTTAGGGTAGATATGTAATTTTCAGAATTTTATTTTGCCTCCGAGTTTAAAAAAGAATTTTTAAAAATCACCAGCTGTACCGAGGATTCAAACCCAGCATGGAAACCCAGCGTTTTAACTGTTCAGCCAACCGCTCCTCCATGAAATTCAACGAAAAATATAAACATGTTTTAAATTCAAATTTGAGGGATGTGTCCCGACTACTGCGCATGCAGAAACATATCCTGTAAATTTCAGCTAAATCGGTTCAGTAGTTTTCATGTCTATACGTCACAAACAGACAAACATTGCTTTATATATTTATATAACCACTGAATTGGGAGTCTGTAGCCTCTTAGTCTAAAAAGACGGCAGGGATGACCTAAGAAAACCTGAGGGAAGACAGCAGAAAGGGAAGTAAGATTAAAGAATGCAAATGGACAGAAGAGCGGCACAGCGGCAGCAATGGATATCTCTTGTGAACACTGTGTGCGTCAACCAACATGAAGAGGATAGACACAACAGATATGCAATAAGCTAAACCTTGTGGAGGAAGCATTATCACTACCGGCTAATCCCTGCTGGTCTGTACATACTGAAATATGTCAGTTTGACACCTCACTAACTCACTCAAAAACACCACACAGAAACAAAAGAAAAATGCTGCTCTCACCAAAGTCGGAAAAAGAAAAAAAAAATAGATGTTTCTACCTGATGTGAATAGAGTACATATTAAAATATGTCAGTTTGACACCTCACTAACTCACTCAAAAACACCACATGGAAACACAAAAGAAAAATGCTGCTCTAACTAAAGTCTGAAAAAGAAAAAAGGTGCTGTTGTTTCTACCAGATGTGAATAGAGAAGTAGAACGTGAAAATATGCTAGAAGACAGGAATATGGTTTTAAAAAGATTATACCAAATTTAAAGCAGTAGGGTACAGAGCTATAAAAAAAATAATAATTCAGTAGTTGCAGCTGGGTTTACAGTGAGAGATTCCGACAAAAGAGACATATTTTTAGTAGTTGCAAAGGAAAGAAACACTTAGGATACAATAAGAGAGATAGGAATTAAAAAGTCAATAAGAAATAGCCACACATTTATATATGGACTAAAAGTCAAGACAAGCCCAAAAACATTAAAACTTGCGTCAAAATAAAAATAACAACAATGTAATAACAAAAATTAAATAACTATAACAAACAAAATAACGCTATTAAATTTCTAATTTCATATATTCAAGTTGTCTTGGTATTTTTGTGACTACTTTCCTTTAACTCTTTAAGTAAAAGAAAATTGTTAAAATAATTATTAATCAAATCATGATATGTTTCTTGGTACCCAAAGAGTTCACAGTAAACTTGACCATATATCTGTTCCTAAACTGTTAGCCTTAACCTACAGGTATCACTTCTGTACCGTATATGCTTAGTAAAAAGCTAAAGCTCAATAAGTGATGAGAAAGTACTGAGGTCACAAGAGTGTCCGGACACATTAACAAATCCAAGAGAGCTTAACATTACATCATATTTCTGCGCTAAAGAGTAACCCCTAAGCCTGTTTACTACATGTGACAATGATTAAACATGAAAATTTACACATACACAAACCCAAATCTGGGTTAACTGTTGAATGAGCAACAGCAGTTCTGTCCCCTCCACACAGAGAAAATTCAGTTAGAACACATACCAAACTTGCCAGCTAGGGTGTTTAGTAAATAACATAGTAACTAATGTGGTGGTCATATTTTACAAACTTCAAATAATACAAGTGTTCTACGGTCCTCTGTAAGGTCATATTCTTTGAGGTCAGTCTTCAATTCTTATCCTCTTTCTTGTCATCAGTGCCACTTTCCTGTGCCTTGGAACTTCCTCCACTTCCACTCTCTCTGTCTGCGGCCATCTAAACAAAAATTTATGAAGAATAAGTACAAATAACTAACTAAAGACAAACTACAAAGATATATGTGGAGTTATTATATTATATTACTTACTGTGCTTATTACGGTGTGCTGTTTCTCAATGTATTACGCTATTTCAACATCCTTTTTTTTTTAAATTACAGTTTTGGTCTCAAAGTATTCTCAGCCCTGATAGTTTTAAGGGTGCCATTTGGGCGCAGCTTCATTCAACTGCATTTTTAGCCTAGACAGTAATAAGTAGATGGCTAGGTGTCACAAATTACTGACTGCATACTGTGAGCTGTGGTTTTCATTTGGAGTACTGTGTTCTTCCTCTGTGCCCAAACCTATAAAACAACATAACACTACTGTCTGGAGCCTGAACAATATCATGTCCATCAACAGAGAACTTCTTCAACATCCTAGCTCTAGGTGTGGAACAAGACAGGTGACATGACAGGTGACATGACAGGTCACACGTGACACCTTAATGTGGTTGAAACAAAAGAGCAAGCTGCAGGTTCTGAAGTACCCATACAACAATAGGATAATATTTTAAAATGTAGCGTAGATCAGGCTCATAAATTAAATGGAAATTGAAGTCATAAAATGCTGTTCAAATTTATATCTTGGTAATGTTCTCACTTATGCAAATACTAAGCAAATTTTCACTTCTTTTTCTTCTTATTGGTGTTCCATTTTGTATGCTTCGGGTAAGACCGTCAGGTGGGCTTGCTCTATGAACTCGCATGTCTGTTGTAAGTCCTTGACAGTTCTTAACAGCTTGTTCTGCACACTTTGCTCTTGAGGCCAGATTCCTCTTCATAGTTGTAAGTAACATGGGCAAGCCTGCAGAATGTGCTCAGGTGTTTGTGGTCCCATCTGATGACATACACACTGCAGGCACTAGTTTATTTGAATCTTGCGGTAGTTGAGCCTGTAGAGTCCTGTTCTTTCACGGAAAATTTATGTATACCACTTTCAGTCTGCTGATGGCGTACTGAGGACGTTTACCATTGGTTAGTTCTCTCCTCAATTCCTTGCATTCCCCTTTGATATAATATTCATTTGTAACTTCTTCTTACAATACTATGTTGGTCACAAAACTTCACAACAAAGCCTGAAGAAACATCTACAACAGGCAGGCTATTTGGATATTTAATGGTGTATTTTACAAACGTGGCTCAGAGCACAGAGGCAGACTTCCCTACTCATTCCTCATTTAACATCAGTATCAGAAACATAGAGAAGTGTGCCTGCAACCTGACACCAGAAAATGCTGAGCATGTACTCTAACAATGTCAACTGTATGCTGTTTGGACTTCTCCAATCTCAATAAAAACAAAGCTGTATATAGCATACAGGTTACTGAACTCCAGATACAAGGTTTGATACAATAATTAGGAGGAAAAAGAACCAACATTATTTACATGCAAAGCATTATTACTTCCCCCACCACGTCACAAGCTCAACAGTGGCAGATGTCTCCTCCGTACTAGATCTTTCTCCTTGCCAGTAGGTAAACTGATATTAGATATACATATACACACACACATATTTACCTTCTTATAAGCCATCTCAAACAATTTCAGTGATGCCTGCTGCAAGTCAGATGTTTGCTGTCTAATTTCCTCTGCTGTCTTGCTGTCCTTATTTGCAATCACATCTCTGACAGCAGCAATTTTCTCTCTCAGCTTGTCACACTAAGTCACAAAAATAACATTATTAGTATGCATTATATTTCAACATATTTACTGTTACAGAAAAATATTTGTCAACAAATGTTAAAGACCACTATTAATTGTTGATTGTTGAGCTCAGAAATGACAACATAGCACTCTGTAAATTCCCATAAGCACTCTGTCCTCTAGGTTCGATCCCAGCTGCGGGCAATGCGCCTTGCGTTGGTTTTGACAGTGGTATCAAGAAAGCCGACCATATAGAAAGCAATGGCAAACTACTGGATGTAAATTGCCTAGAGAAACCACACAACAGCCAGGGGCTGTTAGGGTTGGTTCTGCAACGTCCTGTAAAGGATACGCAACTAACTCTGTCCTCTACAGCAGCCCACAAAGAGTTCCAATTCCAATGATCCCAGCAGCAGTTTGATTATATGCCTGTCTTGCTTCTCCTCTCAAAAAAGTACTGTGATTCCATTCCCCGTCTCAGTCTATACTAAAATCATTTACTAGTATAAATAAGGGAAGTAGTACTTAAAGAATAAATCCCTACTTCATATAAATTATGTTCTCAGATAAAACCGTACAGAAACCTAGTTAATAGCTCAAATGTACTGTTGTCTACACTATTTCCAGAAAATGATAAAGCAACCTCAGAGGCATGATATGTGTATGTAGGATTTGAGTATGTAAGCGAGAAGGCTGATTATTCTCCTCCCCCTTAGCTTTCACCAGAAAGCATTTTTGGCAGACAGTTCTGGTCCTGCCTCCAGTTTCTGGGCTGTTTTAGAACAAACAAGAGTTTTTTCTGAACGCATCCTGATTTACAGTTTCTGAACACACTTATATACAAAAGTGAATCATGGAAGGCACAATATTTACAAATTCTACATGATTTCACTACACAAAAAGATGTGCTGTCTGCATGAGAAGCCACACTGTTTTCTTTTAAACTGAAGCATGTGGTGGACAATATAAATATTGGAGCATAAAACATGCAGAGGGAGACAAAACAAGAATACGTTAGAAATACCTCTTCCTTAGGCAGCTGATCTTTGAATTCTTCCATTTTGGTTTCAGTGTCGTGAATGATACCATCTGCCTGGTTGACAACTTCTATCATCTCCTGAAAAAAATATAATAGAACATATAACTAAAGTTACTGTAACAATTGAAAAAAAAAATATTACAATGAAATGCTAAAAAAATAAACATTTCCGATAAGTACTTTTCTTTTACCTACACTTACAAACTAGCAGACTCTCTTCAATACTCCCTGAAATCTTATCAATGTCATCAAATACAATTAGGATTTTGTAAGTAAGTTAAAATGTTTCTGTTGCTGAAACAATAAACATAAAGGACAATATCATACACAACACTGACCTTCTTCTTCTTGTCTTCTTCAGCATGTAACTCAGCATTTCTAACCATATTCTCAATCTCGTCCTTGGACAATCCACCAGAAGATTGAATAACAACTGAAATTTACAACAACAAAATTATCATTTCCCATTTATGTCTGTCCGACGTGAATCTGAGCTAATATCTGCTTATACAGAGATATTTTTAGACCAGCAATATTACACACATTCTACTACTCTAGGGTTCTCTCTACATATAGGAGGCAAGAGACTAGTGAAGAGCAATAAATTCCCTGCCTAACATGGTTATGACATAAAATCACAATCAAGCTGGGAATTATTTTTTTTTTTTAAGCTAACCTGCATACCTAACTTGAAAGAGCCTCAAAGGGTATACCAGCTGTAAAGATGTTGACTACACTTCTGCATACCCTACTTGAAAGAGCCTCAAAGGGGATACCAGCTGGAAAGTTGTTAAAAGATGTTAATGACTACACCTCTTATCTCATAAATGTTTTAACATTATCAATGCAGCTGCTGACCGAGGTTTCCTTGTGGTTTGTGATAAAGAGACCTCATTATTTCTATTTTTTGTTTGGTTTGATATTTTCTAATTTTCTAATCTTATAAAGTACGGAGTGGTGTTCTTAAAAAAAGTTTAAAGTCTTATCATAAAGATGGACTCCCCATGTAGGTTCTGTGGCCCCATTTTGAAGGGGGGGGGGAGAGATAATAGACCCACTGCCCCCAACAAGCCTGTCGTAAAAAGTGATTAAGTAGGGTTTTTTTTTCTTCAAAATCAGAGTGCATCCACCTGGGATGCTGGGAATCAACATTCTGCATACAAAATATGTCAAATCTCTAAAACTGGTGTGCATAAAAAACTCAAGTTCTGGATCAAGGCCAAAGTCCAGAAATGGATAAACAGAGCTTTCCACCGGTGTTTACAGCCTGTGAGCACTAAGAAGAATAAGGAGATTGTCGTCATCATCATCGTGTAGCAGGTCCTTTGCAGAACTACGCTCTCATCACAGTCTGCCTGAAAGAAACTCGGTCTCTGGCCAGCTCTCCCGCCTCATGTACTTTCATACTCAAGGAGTCAATTATATCCTATGACCATCTTCGTGTCGGTCTGCCCCTGCCTCTCCTTCCTGGTACCATGCCTTCTGCTATAATTTTTTCCAATCCGTCTTGGCGCTTGATCTGACAAAAAATATTTCAGCTTCCAAGACAGGATGTTGTTTATTAGCCAATCTTCCTTGATGTTCAGATCTTTAAAGATGTCAGTATTTCTCCTCTTCTTTGTCCAAGATATTCTGAGAATCTTTCTATAGCATTTCAGCCAAAAGCCCCGATTCTCTTTCGATTGTACGGATAGTAAAACTAAGAAAGGAACATGAGAGAAAGCTATCTCCCCATTTCCCCAAGACGAACTTATTTTCCAAGAATATAGGGTCTTAACAGTGTGCATCTTACACAATGGTGGTAGATTTTTACCAAAAAATTCTTAGAAAATATCCCTACGGGGCCTCATTTGGGAATGCCTGTTCAAAGGTGACATAATATGCAAAACATAAAATTAAAATTTATTTCCTGCTGCAATAATTGTTGTGCCTGTCTTACTGTTTACTGTTTTGCGCTGGTTACAACAGGAAAAGAGGAGTGGCTGGCCGAGCAGTTAGAACACTGGGCTATCATGTGGGAGACCCGGGTTCGAACACTCTGTAAGGCTGGGGATTTTGTCTGTCGTGGGGCAAAATAAAATCCTCACCTGCAGTCATGGCGACAGCACTAGCCATGCGGCCTTAAATCCTCGGGCTCTAAGACCCCAAATTATCTATACCTGCAATATTGTCTCTAGTATGCACTGCACTGTCATTTGTAATTCACTCAGTGACCCGTAAAGTCAGGCTCTCACCCGTGTCTCTCTTGTCCAAAAGTTTTGCCTGTAAATGTTCTATTTTGGGACAGTCTTAGAGGATGTGATCTGTTGTCTCATGTGATAGTCATATGTGCACATTTTAAATTCGGCAATATTTTGATGGCTGCCTGACTGCTCTGAAATTCTGACACAATGCTGTATTTGAATTTGCACGTTTTTATATACCTACTATTACGTAGATGTCAAAAATCTATTAGATAATAAATACTCTTCTGCCTCATATTCAGATACACTGGCAGCCATTACTAACAGCAACGTAGTGATCAGATGGCCATACATTTCTGACTTGACTGTGAGGGGTAGTGATAGGAGGCTTTCCCCTTGGTGTGCAGGTGGACCAGTAGATGGACCCTCAATCGTCATCAAATTTTACCATTCTGCACACGATTCCATTTCAATGTTTCTAATTGCATTGTTACATTGAATTTTCATAGATTTTCAATTTATTTTTGATTTTGATTTAATTATTTTGTGAGACACTGCACTGGATTTGTATGTTGCGTGTTCTACAGTCGGCAAACCAGACAATCTCTATATCTGCGCACACAATGGACCAACAAATAATACTGTACACTCACAAGCATTGTGATATTAAACATATTAAAAACATGCACTTTCTCTTTTCTTCCATCTAGCCAGACTGAGCCACAGCAACACATGGCTGGGTCCAGCTAGTGTGTGAATAAAACTGAATGCCAGTTCAAAGGCTTTACCAGGTATGATAATGTGTAACAAAAAGTGTAGTGGAAACATGAGCATACTCTGTTGTTCCTTTCCTGTTCCCTTGTCTCTTGCGGACACATTGACAATACCATTGGCATCAATGTCGAAAGTGACTTCAATTTGTGGAACACCTCGTGGTGCTGGTGGAATGCCAACCTGTGAGGGAGAAGTAATATTATTTGAAATATAACAACTGCTGGCGAAAAAAAAAAATAGAGAGAGATAAAGCTATAACACTGGTACTAACAAGTGCACACACTTTCCCTCTTAGGCAAACATACACACATGTATATTTCAGTGACATGGAGAATATTTGAGACAGTAACTAACCAGCGTAAACTGTCCCAACAGTTTGTTGTTTGCAGCCATCTCTCGCTCTCCCTGGAAAACTTTGATCTCCACCTGAGTCTGGCCATCAGCAGCCGTGGAGAAAACCTGAAAAAAAAAAAACAAATTTAAAAATTACTGATTTTTGCCCCTGGAATTATAAAGCAGCAGAGAGACCATATATTGTACTCTCTTTATTATGCTAATTTAAAAACCCTATCTTAAATGAATAATCATGATATGTGTGATTTAAGCAGGTCCTCGAACGTGCTGAGGTATTCATGTATTATGCTGAGTTTAATCTTAAACGATCTATTTGTGGAAACAGGAACAATTAGATACCTGCATGCAATTAAATTGATCCTTGGTCAAAACTAATTCATAACAAAGCATACGATTACAAACTTACAAAGTAATTAGAATCTGATTAGGAGCATGAAAATGCTGATCTCACAAAGTCATATAAAAAAAATGGTGCTGTGGTTTAGGTCACAGTATTGGGGAATTACTTCGTACCTCACCTCGTGCACCAGTCGGCTCTGTTGATGGTTTTACAGATCCTTATTCAAGACTCCTGCCAATATAGTACTAAATGCAACCTTTGGTTAAAACTGTTAAGTGCAAAAACTAATGAACTTCCAAGACTCAGCCCTAGACCAAGAGATTTGCTCACAGCTTATATGAGCAACATCTCCTGAGGGCAGTACTTTGCCGTACAGTCCTGCCTCCATATACACCTTGCTGAACTTCAAAGTCGCAGTCACCACAGGAGTATCTGCCACTGTCAATGAGCTGATTAGGCTCAGATGTCCGTCAGACACATGCTTATGGCATAACCGACAAGTCCTAAATGCCAGTCCATCAAATAGTCCTACTTATTGGCAAATGTCCGCTATCACTGACCACACACCAGTATCAGGACCAAGTAAAGAAAGCCATGCCTGATGTACCTGTTGTCCGTACTGTTGTGCCAAGGCTCCAAATGAAACAATGTTAAAAGTATCTACCATGCTGAAGTAGAATGTGACGATTCCTCATGTGAGCCCAGGACAATAGCGTTCCACCATCCACAACCTCCAAAAATATTAACTCACCACAGTACATAAAAATACTTTTCCCACAACAGTACATATATTATATATATATATATATATATATATATATATATATATATATATATATATATATATATATATATATATATATATATATATATATATATATATATATATATATATATATATACACACACACCTACATATACATACATATATTTTTTTAAACTATTTTCTCAAAGCAGGACTGCACAAGTGTTCTTCGACCTTTTTAAACTTGCGGCCCACCAAAACAGAAGGAGAAACAACTATGCAGACCACCTGACAGCTAGCCAAAGATTTAAAAAAAAGTAAACATCTTGACCCCTGGGTTACATAGCCATCAAGTGCCATAATGTGATTGTTATACCCAGCTGGATGGGGTTTCCAGGATTTGTACCTGTTTGATTCTCATCCTTAAGGTGTTAATCCAACACACTGCAACCTTGTGGAGGTAAAAAAAATCTACCAATTGTACCCTGTCACCTGATCAGGCAGACAATTTTAGCGGCCCACCTGCACTTTCCCCAAAGCCCACCAGTTGAAAAACCCTGCTCTACAACATGACTTGCCTGGCTTTTCTTGGTCGGGATAGTAGTATTTCTGTTGATTAGCTTGGTGAAGACACCACCCAGTGTCTCAATTCCCAGAGACAATGGGGTCACATCCAACAGCAACACATCTGTAACATCACCAGCCAGCACACCTCCCTAGACAAACAACAAAATACTGCTAAATTATGCAATGAAAGTTATCAAAAAAGCAGAACTAGTCATCTTCAATCATCATAAGTAGCAGCTATAGAAAGCCTTCTTCAGAAAATGGAAAATGATACAATTATATATACACACACATATATATATGTACACACATATATATATATATATATGTACACAGATGTATATACACACAAATGTATGTGTATGTGTGTGTGCATGAAAGAGAGAGGGAGAGACGAGAGAGAGAGAGAGAGAGAGAGAGAGAGAGAGAGAGAGAGAGAGAGTTTAAAGAAAGCATACAGTGCAGAGGAAGTGGATGTGCACAGACAGAAAGTAGCAGTTCTGGGAGGGTGAGGAACGCAAGAGGTGAAGATTGTTTCAGCAACTGTAATCTGCTACGGCGTGTATTTTCACAAACTTGCATTGTTCTTACAGTGTTTCCAATAGGTATGTTACCACCATTCCTGGTCAAAAATTATTCTCCAGGGTAAAAAGTTTGAGGCAACTTGTGAACAGATATTCAAAAGGAGACCCCAACATCCCACACTGAACAGGCTACGATATTACAATACTAACAGACTTATTACTGACAAATAGCAGCACAGGACTTGAATAATTACAATTACCATACAGGCATGGTTAGGAGCATCGTTTGGGGGCACACAAAAAACATTCGAGAGAAAAGGTTACAGGATAGAAAAATAATAAAATCTGTAATGCATTTTTTTTTTATATACAGACACATTTTACAGACTCTCAGGTAGGTCATTTGTCATCGTGTTTGTCCATGGGCTCTTTAATTTCTTAAATTACTTGTGAATCGTTTCTAACGGAGATGCTTTTTTTTTTTTTTTGCATGCCACAGTGCCAAGCTGTTCAGTATCATCTCTACAGCGAGTCTTTTTACAAAACCCTCCAGCTGTCTTCTTTCCAGTTGTTTTATGATACAAACAATATGAAGTTTAGAGTAAAGCAGCCATAAATTCTGCCTTTGTATAGGTAGTAGGCAAGTAAAGGTCCATTTGTGTATTTGTTGTGCATCAGGTATACCCTGTATGGTGATAGAATGTTTGTATATAGATAGCACTTGGTGGTCACCTTCACCTTCACTTCCCTGGAAATTAAATGGTACCCATTTTAGGCTGGTTCAACCTGGAATTCAAGTTCAATATTTTACATACATAAGAATCAAAGTGGATTCAAACTGGAGACCTTCAGGATAGCAGGCGAGTGTCTTACCACTACATTACAGTGGCTCCCACCTCTGGGTACATACAAATCAAACGCTTTTTTTTTTTACAACATATGTAAATGAAGTCAACAAGGCAGGTCAAAAGAGGGATCCCGATGTGTGGGCAACATAGGGTCTCTACAATGCTGCCCAGGCTTTGTGCTACGGAGAGGAGGAACTTCATCCTCCTCCTCAAGCAAAATAGAACACTGTAACAATAACAATACATTCATAATAATACATTACCTGAATAGCTGCACCAATAGCCACAGCTTCATCAGGATTGACAGATTTGCTGGGTGTTCTACCAAACAATTCCTGGACTGTTGCCTGGACCTGAATTCAGAATTACAAATAGAAAAGTACATGTTCAATATTGGTACTGGGGGGGGGGGGGGGAGGGGGGAGAGAGAGAGGGGGATCAAGCAGGAAAGAACTGACAGATACGGGGTGGTGTAAAAGTAAAGGACCCTTTTTGCACCAGTGACGCACTGAGCATAAGATGCTAGACAACATGTTTTTCTAGACTCAAATGACACACAGTGGGTGGGTGCGTTATTCTTTTCACTGGGAAACAACGTTTTTCTAGACTCAAATGACACACAGTGGGTGGGTGCGTTCTTCTTTTCACTGGGAAATTGGTAATAAAATAATGCAGTGGATTATTTAATAATATTTCTTAATGACAATATCCAAGTTAGTATTCTCTTTTCTAAGCTACTGCACTCACTCTTAGGTGGCACATTCTGTTGTGGTTTATAGCTGAGGCTACACAATAGGTGTGCCTTTCAGTCCAAAATATATAAATAATCTTAACAGTATCTTAATGGGTCACTTTGTACAACATGAAGGGGCTGCGTGGTCTCAAGGAATGGTCGCAGCCATAAAGTTACAAATCTACCCAAGGTATTTTAGAATCCTTGCAGGTGCCACAGAGCCTGTGCTGAGCTTCTTTGGATTCAGGCTTGAGTTAGAAGAAGAACAGAGCACTTATGAGTGACTACCCGTGTGCCATGTTGATCTTTTGTTCAAACCTTAAACAACATGCTTTTTAAGTGGCAGTGGGTCCATTCTTTTTTTTTAACTCTCAAAATGGAGCCAAGAGGCAAACACTGGAAGTCTTTCACTAAATATAAATATGCTTTTCATGTTTCATCATTAAAAGCTGTTAGCTATTTACACAAAGGTCTCAGCGCATTTAAACACATAAATATTGACATACAAACATACCTTGGGCATTCTGGTCATGCCACCAACCAGGATGACCTCTCCAATATCGGTCTTCTTGACATCAGCATCTTGCAAGGCTTTCTGGCATGGTCCAACTGTTCGCTTGACCAAGCCATCAACAATCGACTCAAACTTGGACCTCGTCAATTTCATATTCATGTGTTTAGGGCCAGAGGCATCCATTGTCAGATAGGGTAAGTTTATGTCGGTCTGTAAAACATGAACAGTTTACAAATTACAAAAACATGTCGGTTCTAGTTTTCTTATAATTTACCATATAGAAATTTTTTTTTATCCCCCTTTCAAACACATGTTTCACGTAATAGATAGAATCTATTCTTTGCTCAAATGGAGTTACACTTTACGGTATAAACTATTATTACGTTACCACCATTTAAAATAAAAAAACAGAAGCAAGCTCTCAAACACTTAAAACTTTAAATTATATCAAAATCCTATCAGAAATCCAAGTACTATCTGCACAATCTTGTCATTGTAATAACAATCTTATCTCAGTAATAACAATCTTATCACAGTAATATCAGAATGTTAATAGTTTAATAATTATGCCTTCTTTGTCTTGCGCCTTCACCCTCAAAAGGGTGGTTGGCACATGGTGCTGTGGTTTACAATTAGGCTGCGCTACATTTGCCTTTTAGCACAACATATCAATTTTAACAAACTCATGGTCACCATTCACAACATGCTTATTAAGGGACAGTGCCCCCCCCCCCCCCCCCTTTTCCCCACAGAAGAAATGTCTTCGAACCCACACAAAGATAATAATGCTTTCAACAATTGGGGGGGGGGGGGAGATCCGTAGCTTTTGCATCCTTGTGTGCTCAGACAAGAGATATCACCATTTTGTACAGAAAGTACAATAGTGATGACGAAAAATTAAACATCATGGCACAGTTAGCGTTAACAGTGAGATAAATATATTTCAAGTTCGAAATTATCAGAGTTTGAAAAAAAAATACCTGCAGTGCCGAAGACAATTCACATTTGGCTTTCTCAGCAGCCTCCCTCAGTCTCTGCATGGCCATTGAGTCCTTAGAGAGGTCAATGCCTTGCTGAAAAATACATATGCACACAGAATATCACATTTGTGAATACTGACTTAAATAGATTAATCATGAATACTTTCCCTTTAATGACTGAGTTCAACTACAAAACAATGGGGTTGTACTATATTTTTTAATTATACAACAACTGCAATCAACTATATAACATACTGCTGCTGCTGTAATTCTCATGAAGGACCCTGGTGTTGGCCCATCTTACACTGCACGGTTTTTTTTTTAATGCAAGCTTCAAGATTCTGCTGGGACTGACAAGTTTTTTACTAGTTTTCATATGGGGAACAGTGAAGATATGTCTGTGTGATTTCCACTGGCGCAGGAAGGGAGAAGCTATAGGGTAACCTGTCTGCAGTGGTGCTGGAACCTCAACTAACTAACCAACTATACGGCTGGGTTCAACGTTAAAACAACTGGGAGCTGAGAAAGCTGCTAACATACCAGTCCAGTGGTCATAGGTTCAAATTCACACCGCCTAGGCCTCTCATACTGATAGCCTAAACAAGCACTAGGGAATTTATCTGGGAAGCAAAGGTAACTAACATAATTACCATAACACCTATTTAGTGATGACTGGTCTAGAAAAATATAGGGTTAGCACCTTAGGCTAAAAAAAGTCCTTTACTTTTACTATGCAACAATTTGTATGAAAAAAAAACATTCTATCATTATATTTGTCTCTCGTATAAAATTCCGTCCTTCCTGGTTTATTCAGTGGTCTGTAGAGTTTACACTCAACTGTTCCTTTTTTTTTCTGGCCAAAAAAATGTGCCTTAATGTATTATATTCGGTGCAGTCTTGGAGTATGTCAAACTATTGGACGTAAATTTGCCTTAAAAACCAGAACAGCCCCCCCCCCTCCCCCCCCCAAATGCTAGGGTTGAACTGCAATGACCTGTAAAGGAAACGCAAAAAACATTAACTATGTGTTCTGCAGTTTTTGGGTGACTTTCCACAAGTGCATATGGTTCATACACTTTTCTAAAGTTTACTTAGGGAATTCACATTTGCAATTATTTTTCCGGCAGTGATTTTGTGCTGGTCAGACAACACATTTATATTTACCTCTTTCTTGAACTCTGCACTCAGGTAATTGACAAGAGCATTGTCAAAATCCTCTCCACCAAGGAAAGTGTCACCATTTGTTGATTTCACTTCAAAGACCCCTTTCTGAATTTCCAATATGGAGATGTCAAAAGTTCCGCCGCCCAGATCATAAACTGCAATCCTTGAAAGAGAAAACACATTAATAGACATTATGTTTTACATTTCTGAACATACCATGGTTACATAAGTTTATGATACAAGACAATGAAGATTAATTTCAGTAAATTGTACAGATACACTGATGTGTGTGGCTTAGGAGTTTTGAATTTTGTTTGTAGTTCCAAGATACCCGGTTCGATTCAGCTGCAGACAATACGGTGGGAGACCATTTTGTGTGAATTTAAACAACTGCATACAGAACCAGTGAAGTAAATAAAAACTACAGAAAGCCTCAACCCACTTACTGTCAAGTCACCTTTTCTCCAGTCTCATCTTCTAAAAAAACATAGTCTCTCAACCAACTCATGCCTCTCTGAACTTCTAATGACAGGCCACAGAATTAATGTCACTATCCACCGAATTCCTTATAATGCGCGCGGGTGGGGGAGCTTACTTAAACCGCACATAAAAATCCAGTGACATTAACCTTCTAGTACACTAAGATTGGCTGCATTTTAGTTGGGGCGTTTTATTTCAATGACAATGTTGCAGTCTCATAAATGAACACTTAACAAGATAGTTTCCTTCTGCATACAATTATAAACTATAAGAAAGAAGAAGACTAATGCTAACTCTGGGATATAATCAAGTACATGGTTATGAAATAATCAGGTGTTAAGGGAAGGGTCTGTTTGATATGGTGTGATTTGTTGCTGCTTTTCATACTGATATGAAAGTGTTGTGTATAAGTGAAGTGTGGCCCCTATACGTATATACAAATAAAGTATGAACGCTTGCCACAGCTTATCTGCTGCTGCTTCTTTTACTTTTTCAGGAAGCAGTTGTCAAGGCAGATTTGGCTGTTAAATCTGGACAGGTTTTTGTCAGTAAGAGATGTAAATCAACAACAAATGTGTTGATGTTGCACAAATAAATCATTTTATTTAAGTATCCCAGCCATCTGAAAACTCTTTTTCATGGTTTAGTAATCAATACTTCAAGGACAGATAACAAAAATTAACTATACTGTTATTTTCATTATTTTAGTGTATAAATATCAGTCTTGCTCAGAATCAATATGTCACCATTTTGATCACAACACCAATACTGATGACGAAAAATTCAACATCACCGCAAGATCTTACATTAACTGTTTTGCTATACACTGGTAGCCACATTCTCCTCAACAAATACTGCATTATTAAACTGCACAAATTCGTATGTTTCTCATTTTAGGGCAGTAAAACCCAACTCTATTGTACTACACATTGAGGAGTTAACAGCCTCCTTTAATAATGAAAACCTCTCATATTAACATTGTTACAGAGCCTCGCTTTGGAAAATCGCCTAATCCATGGTCAATGTGTCATGAGCCCAGGAGGTATCAATGTTCAACATACCTTCATCTAAACAGTTTTAATAATGTCATGTTACTTTTCAATATGTTTTTATTTATACTCTGTTATGCTTATTTTATTTGATATTATTTTACTCTCTTATCAGTACCATCTATGGATCAATATCATTTGTAGTTCTACTACTTTTATTCCTACTATGATGATATATTTTCACTATTACTTTTATGACTATTTTTCTAGCCTTCATTGATTTTGTTTTATTTTATTCATTCCACATCACCATGTATAGTTTCACACTTTACCTCCTGGGGAACACTGGTAGTTGGAGTACTCTCCCCATTGTTATTTTTGTGTAGTTTAGTTCATGTTGAAAAAAAAGCCCAGACCAAAATGTCGATTTGTATGTCTTGTTGACTGGATTATTTGTTAACACCATTACCGGATATATTCTTTTCGTAATGAATGCTCTTTGATGCTTGTACTGAAATTCTAACTCAGCTGTGCTAGTAAATTTGAAATGCTTTCTATTAAATAACCGGTTTTGTTTTTAAATTTAAAAAAAAAAAAACTGTAAATCCCCTGTTTACAACTTTGTTACATTTATTTTAAGTAGCAAACAAATCAAATTTGCTGTCTCCTAAAAAATATCCGAATGTGTTTTAGCTGTGTTTATGGTTCTGGTCTAAAATGAGCACTAGTCACTAAAATAAATGTATGCTGGGAGATTATGTTTCAATTTATCTTGACAGAGATATCACGTGCAATTTCTACTGTTGTTATTACTCTCCCCATAAAGTTACTGATCACCACTGATACATGTTGTACTAATGTCCCTCTTGCTCAGAATCTAGACTGTCACCATTTTGTACACAAGTACAATAGTGATGACGAAAAATTCAACATCACTGCAAGAATGGACCTCATAGTAAAATGTCTATTTTTGTTTACCCTTAACATAACTAACTACCAATAACTCTGTTTTTTCCATGCTCAATACTAACCTTGTTGTGCCAGTAATATTTAATCCAAGTGTCAGCAATTTTTTTTAATAATTTTTTTTTTCAGCATAGCTCTTAAAACTTTTTAATCAATGTTAACAACTTAGATTAACCAACCGTATGTTTGTAATCTAGATTAATGGCTCGTAACTATTAATGATAATTCTATACATTAAATAAACAGAATACAATGTTGCAAAACTATTTTATTACTACTGTATGTTCAAGACTATACTGTAATGTTCAAGATAATATTGTAACTCATTCTATGCCTCATCGCATACAGAGATTTTCTCTATTCAGCATGCCCTAATCAGTATTAACCTTACCCAATATATCCTATTTGTCCTTTCAATCCTCTCTTTCTTAGAGCTTTTTGCTATAAATTCAGGATTTTATTATTTAAATTAAAAACTACATGTATATAATGAGTTGAATTAACAGTTGGCAAAGACTGAAAGACTGTTCTACACACTCCTGCATGTTATACTGAAAGTTTAAAGTCAAGGGGATAAACGTCAATGCACCAGGTTTGATCCAATATGACTCAGTGTCTCTCCACAGAAGTTAGCCATCTGCAGAGAGTGTGTCAAAAAGCACAAACTCCACAGTCCCAATGATGATCCCCAAATATCTTTCATGAACCAAATGAAGCAGTAGGATTATATCAGACTTAACTGTTGAGAATTATACAACTTTAAAGGCTAGCCCCCCTCTTACAGCATAAGACAATCCCAAACAGCACAAAGAGACATCTTATTCAAAGCATATTTATTCCAACTCTGTGCTACCAGTGCCAGACATGGTCACTCACAACAAACCATAAAAGAAAATTAGTAACCACGGAAATGAGATGTCTGAGAAGGGCTGTAGGAGTGACCATAAGAGATAATATCAGGAATGAGATCATAAGAGAAAAAGTCGGCACAGAACCAATTCTGGATTACACACAAAGACGGCAAGTGAAATGGTTTGCCCGCTTAGAGAGAATGCCTTGTGACACCATACCATACAAAGCATACATGGAAAGAGAAGAAGGACGCAGAACACGAGGTAGACCAAGAACAACATGGAAGGATCACATCAGAGAAACTCTACAACAGCACAATATGCCTATGGTCGAGGCGGCCAGAAGAGCCAGAAACAGAACCTTATATCTCACTCGACACCCACAGCGGTAAAAGAGGAAGTGAAGAAGAATGGCATTAATGAAAAAATAATTTGTTTGTTTCTCCTACACAAACATTAGCACACTCATGCTCAGAACAATTTGGCACCATTCTGTATAATGGTACAATACTAATGACGAAAATATTCAACATCACTGCACAAATTGTAATCTACCCCATCAAAATTCTTTACTAGGTTAGGAAAGCCACAGGACAAACAGCATCATACTAGAAGAAAACAATCTAAATGATGAAAACTGTGTCCCAAAACATCAACTTAAAAACACAAAATGGGAGTTGTATACTAACTGCAAAAATATGGGAAGGGGGGGGGGGGAGAAAAACAGTTTTGAAACAGTCATTTGAGTATCCTTCACAGGACGCTGCAGCTGTTGTGGCAAATTTACGTTTAGTTGTTTGCCAAAATTTTCTTGAGCAGCTGGCTCTTAATACCACTGTTGAAATCAATGCGCAGCGGCCTGCTGCCAAATCGTCTGCAACTGGGATCGAACACAGCACCCGGGCATTACAAAGCACACATCAACCAAATTAAATTACTAGATAAAAATACCAAACAAGTAGCTGTAAATGTTTCACATATGGAACATAAAATGACATAAATAACCCTTACACTTTATCATCTGTCTTGTCCATACCATAAGCAAGAGCTGCAGCTGTAGGTTCATTGATCACACGAAGCACATTCAAGCCAGCAATCTGTCCAGCATCTTTGGTTGCCTGTATATTCAAAAATCAGTAAGTCATTAGCATTTTTTTTAACACATCCACAGCACCCATCTTTGTTTAGTGGAACTAAATATATTACTCAGATATTAATAATAGTTATCATATTACAGTTATCTTCTCATTTTAAAACTGTTGATTTCTCATCATCAGTTTACCACCATCTCATGAAAGCTGTGATGATGAAAGCTCAGTGACTGCTTAACTACGCGCTCGTGCGTGTATATATATATATATATTCATTCCAGACTTTAAAAAAAAAACTTTATGGTGATTGCTCAGATTACAACTATAATTCAAGAAAAGTCCCACCTCCCAGTCAGACTTTAATGCAGATTTGTATATTAAAACATTTTTTAGTTCACTTTTTTTTTAATGTGTCAGCCTGATGACCTTTCCAAATCAAGTTTTCTTCTCATGTTTCATAATAACTGAAATCATAGACTAGCACTGTACTAGATCTCTGTATGTGTGTGCGCTTGAATGCACATGCATGTGGTGTGTCATTATTCATAATTTTAATATATACTTATAAATGTATAATATTTATGTGCAGCAAATAGTTTACTGAGTACCTAATTTGATCTACAATGTGATGACGTTGACACATTTCCATGCACTGGTGAATTGATACCTGTCAGCTACAACTGCATAACAAAACTTCAAAATTTACATTGCTAAGGATGTAAGGCACTCTTTTCTATATACACTTTTTCCTTGAAATACAAAACTTCAAAAGTTACGCTGTTATGGATGTAATTCATAATCTATTTTCTATACCCCTTTTCCCAGAAATACTGAGAAATTTTGATAAATTTTATTATATCCCCGTTTCTCAAACAATAATAATTATTAAAGAGTTATTACTTTCAAAGCTCTTTAAGGTTTTTTGCAATACTGCAAAAAAAAAATTTTTTTAAGTGGGTTCACTGTAATTTGGAAGACTTGTCTAGAAACTTGCTTGCTTAAGCAAATAATGTTTCTGCACAGGTATGCTTCTGTGAACTAATCGCACACAAACGCTATTACATTTAGTTACAAAGTGATTACAATAGTACCTGTCTCTGGGAATCATTGAAATAGGCCGGCACTGTAACAACTGCATTCTTTACTTTTGTGCCCAAGTAGTTTTCTGAAATCAATAAAACAATTGTAATTTAAGAGAAACAATTTTCTTACAATTAGTATTCCAAAAAACCAAAAATACTTTTCATAGTTATAAATAAAAGAGAGAGATTTTGGAAATTAATAACCAAAGAGGTATCACATTATTGATAAAAGATTCTAAATGAAGAAACGAAGAGGAAAACAAAACAAACATCACTGATAAACACTATCGAAAGGAAGAAGATGGGAGATAGCTAGGACATGTTTGCAGAATGCCCTGTGACACTGGCAAGGACAGTAGATGAAAAAAAAAGGAGATGTGGACGACCTAAGGAAACCCAGAGAAGGCAGTAGGAATAGAAATGAATCATGGGATACCATTGGCGAAACAGCAGCAGTGAAGACCATAAAACCAGACAAAAAAAACAGCACATACCATTTGTTGTGTGCAATCTGAAGATTCACACTACTGAAGACCGCTAATGAACATGAGATATGACGAGAGACACGAGGTCACTTGCCGACAGAAGACAGTTATAAGAAAGGGTAGGTAGGGCAGAGGCTTGTATTGATACGTCCTGATGCCGCAGTTTGCGGGGAAGCAAAGTCTCTGAGCTCCATGTTGGAGGAAAGGAATTATCCTACCGTCAGCCTGATGCCGCAGTTCGCGGGAGAGCAAAGTCTCTGAGCTCCATGTTGGAGGAAAGTAATTATCCTACCGTCGTTGGGTACAGTGATTGTAACATTATATCTGTGGAGAATTGTTGAATAAACGTATTGATATTGCCCGTCAACGATGTGTTCTCAAATGTAGAAGCTCAAACAGCTAACCTTGTTGGTGGCGTTTTTCTGCCTGTCGTTGGTTTTGACATTTGTTACCCCTAGAGTAATAAGTTACTTGGCATGGACCTGGGACTATATTTCAACGGAATAATCTATGCACAAAATATCGCTGTACACCATTAAGGGAAAAAAAGGTGCCAATCACTCTGATATCTGGTCACTAAACTACCAAATTTTTTTTTTTAAACACATATATATATATTTTTTTTTTTTTTTAACGCTGTGTTTTATGGGTATATTTTCTTCAAGTTCTTGTTAACAGTGTCTGGGATGTTCTTTTTGTCCTCTTTTTAATCATATGCTGTTATTATCTCTGTCTGTCTGTGCGCGTGTGTGTCACTGGTGTAAAGAATCGGTAATAAAGAACAAATATGTCATCCCTACAGAATCTAGAATTATTATCTTAGGGATAAAAATCAAAAACATGTAAATCTCAGAGTAACCTGTAGTCCAGTCTAGATGGGTATGATTAAGGGAGTGCTAAACATACAGCTGCATGGTTAAACAAACAGCTGCATGGTTCACTTTAGAGAACAGTCTACTGCAACAGTGTATTCCATGTACATGAAATGCATTACATAAAGAATGACTTACCAGCAGTCTCTTTCATTTTAGTCAGAATAAAAGCACCAATCTGACTTGGTGAATACAGCTTGCCTTGAGCTTCCACCCATGCATCACCATTAGAGGATTTCACAATCTTATATGGGACTGTTTTTCTACATTGATAAAACCAATACAGAGGCATGTTTAAAAAAAAACGTATATTACAGCAGCTTCTTTACTTTACACGTAAGAGAATGAATGTTTAACATTTAAAACAAAAAATATGACTACAGTAATTACACCTGGTCTAATCTTACAACCCTTTATATAAATCATGGGTTTAAATCATCACCGAGTCTTACTTTTTTCAAAACACGTCCTTGGCTCTCAGGTCGACCCAGCACTAAATGGGTAGCGGGTAAAGTCCTGGGAAGTAAAGGCAGCCGGCATGATGACGGACCATATCACCTACAATAGCTGTTTGGTCTAGCCTCATATGCCCGATGCACCACTGCTGTGTTAAGAGACCTCTACCTTAACTCTGATTAGATTATATTAAGCAAAAAGAATTGGAACCTATAATAAACAAAACCCCTAGTGTTCACACACTAACCTACCAGTTGCAGTCTTATGTTCAAAACAGTTTTCATGCAGTGAATTTAAATAACCTGGACTCATCTCGGTCAACTGTACTATTTACTGCCTGTCATACATATTCTGCTGCATCTTGTCAGATGCTTTACTAAAGAGTAAGACCAACAAATAATGAAAAAATAAAAATGAACCCTTTACATTATAATACACAAATCACACCAATTATTTCTCTTGTTACACTGTACATCAATCACATCAAAGGAAGTTAAGGACAGCCATGAAATTTTAATTTTTCAAAATCTCTTTTCCATCTGCACAATGCATGATGGTGTGTTCAGAGACTGTGGTGTCCTCTCAGGCCCAGAGGTTACTAGGTTCAGATACTACAGTAAAGTATGTATTTTCAGAAGAATCGTTTTTTTTTCCTCCCCAATATCAAATGTCCCCTGCTATGTAGTGTAAGTCTGGATACATGAGTTAACAACAAGCAGAAAGCAGTGTTAAAAACTGCAGCTGGAAATCACACCAAACTTCAAGTTGTGTGACTGCTACCCAGGCAAATTACTGATTTAAGAATCGTCAATCAGTAATTTACCCTGGCAAGTTGTTAGAAAACAAAACCTACATGTAAAACAGTATGTTTAAGTTTAATTACTGTGAAACGGATTTGAAAAAATACTATGAAGTCTAACAAACTGGTAACCACAAAATAATGAATTTAAAAAAAAAAGTAATTTATCTTAAATGAAAACACTGAACTTACATGTCTTTCTGTACTTCTGGATCATCGAAACGGCGCCCAATTAAGCGCTTAGTTGCGTGAAGCGTGTTCTGTGGATTGGTTACTGCCTGACGTTTTGCTGGCATGCCAACAAGCCTTTCTCCATCTTTAGTAAATGCCACGACTGAAGGTGTAGTTCTAGAACCTTCTGAATTCTCTAATACTTTTGCCTGCTTGCCTTCCATCACAGCAACACAACTATTAGTTGTGCCCAAATCAATGCCGATCACATGGCCCTTCACCTTGTCTGACCTGATAAATGTAGATGTAACAGACAACTATAAACTAGTTTTGCGTTAGATTTTTCTCACTCTCACATTCATCAGTTATTTGAGTACCGTAATAATTTCATTCATTTGTCACATACCAACTATCACCTCTGCTTAAACATCCAGATATAACCATGAAGACCAAAAGACAATTGATAAACACCATCTTCATTCCAACACTCTGCTACCAGTGCCAGACATGGACAATCAACAAGACCCATGAAAGAAAAATAGAAGCCTGTGAAATGAAATGTCTAAGAAAAGCAGCGAATAAGACAAGACTAGACAGGATAAAGAATATAGACATTAGAAACACTGTCAAAACTACACCATGTTTAGACTACATAGAACATCAAAGAATGAAATGGTTTTGACAATTTAACCAGGATGAAAAATGATCAAATAACATCACAAATTTTCAATCAAAGAAGCTCAGGATATAAGGCAAGAGGAAGACCAAGGAAACGGTGGATTGACGGGGTCTCCGAAACCTGCCAAAAGCATGGCCTCAGAACATCAGATGCTGCCCGCCTTGCTTATGACAGGAACTTGCATCTCCCCACAACGCTTAGCGGCATACGTGGAAGGAAAAAGTAAGTAAAGTAAGTAATAATTTCATTTATACAATAATAGGAACACCAAAGTATAAACTGCTATAACGTTCACTGCGCACTTCTAACAGCTTATCGGCTGTTATTAAATGTTTTCCAAGTCTCTTCTAATGCACTGTAGAAATATCTTTTCTTATAACCAAGAATAACTTTCGGTCAAACAGTTAACTGATATATTCACAGGCTACTGTCCTTCTTGACACCTTGGCTTCAAGCCTCTGGCCTAACTGCCCATCGTGATCACTCTCTCCCCTTTCTCATCACTTTCCTTCTCCAAGCCCGACACCCTTCCATCCTCATCCTTTGATTCTCTGTCATTTGTACCATTTCATCTGAAAGAAAGATTAATATACCCCTCCAGTCTGTATCTGGTAGGCCAACCAGAGTTCCTCATCTCATTTCTATTGGAAGTGTCTGTGATCTGTACTCGCTGCCATCCGTCACCTATTCATCTCCCCAGATTCTCTAGCATGTTTTTAGCCCTTCGGCTGGCTGGACTCAACTACCTCAGAACGATGTGTGTTACCATAATTACTCTCACCAAGGATCCTGGCATATCTTGGTGCTACTCCCATCTCCTTCTCTCACTGTATACATCCGTCAATGTCAGATTTCATGTTTGGTTGTGGCTTTCACTGTTTCCCTGAGTTAATTTATAAAAAATTATCACACCTGTTCACCCCTCCTGATTGTTCCTATGTTACACTGTCACATTCATCAGTTTATAATTTAGCAGTTTTTTCTCCTTCTCACATTCATCAGTTTTTTTTTTTTTTTTTTTTTTTTTTTTTTTTTAAATTTAGCTAGAGATTTTTGTTGTTGTTGGTCTTGATCTTTTTAAAGGTGGAAAAATGCAGAATTCTATTCTTTCTGCCATACACAAGGGAGATATTACCTTCTCAAAGTAAGATCACCTGTCAGACTTTAGGTGTTTTCTCAAAGATCACCAATCAAACTTGAGGAGTTTTCTTTTCAAAGATCACCAATCAGTCTTGATTCTTCGCAAAGATCACCAATCAGAGTCGAGTTTTCTCCACAAAAATTTCCAGGTGTTTCCTTCCCAAAGTAAGATCACCTATCAATCTTCCCCTTCTACGGTCCTCTGAAGATATATGAATCTGCAATATGTGCGTCTTGTAATCAACACATCTAACTTCTTCAGGCATGTTTTCCAGGTCAGATTAGCTGGACACAGCCTCAATGTTTTAAATTTTTGCCCCCCCCCCCTTTCCCCTTAAATCTACAGGTGGTAACCTCCAGCAGGCACATTCAGGGCAGCCATGTCAGCCCTTAAGTGAAGGGAACATTCTCAAGCATTCTCTACCATCAAAGGAGGCTTCTATAAATGCACACTGATAATAGCACTGTGGTGCTAAAAATCTGAACTATCCTTATAAAGTAAATGTAATAAGACTGTAAAAATAGAGAAGTAATAAGACTGTGCAATGATAGAGAAGTAATAAGACTGTGCAAAGACAGAGAAGTAATACGACTGTGCAAAGATAGATAAGTAACAAGACTGTGAAAAGATAGAGAAGTAATAAGACTGTGTAAAGACACAGAAGTAATAAGACTGTGTAAAGACAAAGAAGTAATAAGACTGCAAAGACAGAGAAGTAATAAGACTGTGCAAAGACAGAGAAGTGATAAGACTGCAAAGACAGAGAAGTAATAAGACTGCAAAGATAGAGAAGTAACAAGACTGTGAAAAGATAGAGAAGTAATAAGACTGTGAAAAGATAGAGAAGTAACAAGACTGTGCAAAGATAGAGAAGAAATAAGACTGCAAAGATAGAGAAGTAATAAGACTGCAAAGATAGAGAAGTAAAAAGACTGCAAAGATAAACATTTACATATACAGTCAATATATGTAAAGGAAACAAAAAGGAGAATACGAGCGAGAAAGCATGCAAGAGACAGTTGAGAAAAAAATACACACACACATATATTTATATGTAAAGCAATACTCACTTGAACCTTTTATGAATCCAGCATCTTTTAAATGCACCGTTAAAAATCACAATCTATTGAGGAATGGAGATAAAATATGTCAATTATTTCAATGCAGAAACAAAAAATTTCTCACAAAAATAAAATCTGATGTACCTCAAGTTAGGACCACCCCCTCCCCTTTTTTCCCCCCATACACTGAATGTTCAAATAGCCCCAAAAAAAGTTCTAGCAGTGTGGATTTAAATACATAAATAATGATTTCAGCTCATTCAAGCAACAAAGAAAAGTTGTCAAAAGAGAAATACAAGCTCAGATAACCTGTCAACTTGGAGTACTCATTTATATATATATATAATTTATTTATTTACTAAAACATTAGCAGTGTGCCAGCTGAGTACTTTTACTCTTGAGTGTCAAATAGTCTCCTTTCAGTTATTCTCAAGAGTTCAGTATATTTTTGGTCATGATGCACCTCACTGCAGTTGAGTCACTGATCACTGTTGTCAAGAGAATGCTGCAGACTGAACAATTAATAAACAGCATCTGACACTCCAAAAAGAGAAATGTCATGTTCCCTTGTTTAGTCAAGTATAGATATAAGTTTGTCACTAGGAAGAAAATGAAAGGTAATAATGTATTCAAATCTAACTTCTGATCCCATATCTGACCTCATAATACAGTTCAGGGCTTCATATATGTCCTCATATAATTTAACAGATGATCCTGTGCCCTTCTTTGAACCTACATGTCTCCAGCCCTGCCTTAACAGTCAGTCAGCCCTGCATTACCTATCAACATACATTCTCCTTACACTATCACCCTGCCCCAGCCATACAAAAAGGTTACTAAATAGTGCAATGTATTATTTTTTTAAATGTATCCATTGTTTGCAATTATTAATTGAATTAGGTTAATCTGTTGTCAGTGTTTGATCTGTCTCCTGTCTGCTTTTATTAAATGTTTCCTATTTTTTAAACATTTATAAACAAAATAAATAAGACATATCAATCATTATCAGACAAAGATGAATCAAACTGTGCCTCAAGTACCTTATTCATATTAGTATATAAGAGTCTGGTATTGATCTCAATTTGCGGACAATCACACAATAGCAGACAATGACTTCCACTGGTGTCGTTTGCACTCTTAGTTTAGTTCAATTATTCGCGTGAATACTGTCCAAAATTTTCACTGCTGACAAATAAACGTTGCTGTAAGTTGAAAGATTTGAGTAAGAAGTGTCAAACTCTCTATCATACAACGCTAAAATCATCTGCGTTGTGGGTTTCAAACTTGAAACAGTTGAACTCACTCTAAGTTAGCTTGTTAATGTTAGCGTGACTGCAGGCGTAGTTTGTGTGCAACCCCCCATAGTTAGTTTGTTACAGTTTCTCTAGAATACTCACGTTTTTAGATATCCCCATGTTCAAGATAAGCTTTCCGTTAAATCTACAGCTGTGTGACAATCTTCACCGCCTTCTATTCGCACGTGTTATATAACTGTCGTCTCATACAAGAAAAGACAAAAGCGTGCAAGGTCAATTTGCGCTTGCGTCAGGCACCACGGCCGTTTCCGGTGAGGGAAAGTGCAACAGGGGACACCACTCGCAGACATTAGAACATTCCATGTGGCTAAATCTGCCAGCTAGAAAGTGCTAGGCCGTGGCTCACAATAATAGTCTAGAAAAGAATGGAAACATCTAGTTAAGTCAGTGATTCCCAAACTGTGCGCCGCGGCGGCCCGGGGAGCAGCGACCTCTTTACAGGGACGCGGCCAAATATTGTAAAAAAGCTTCATAATTAATTTAACCAAGACATTTTACCTAACTTAACAATATCGCGAGAAGCTAGAATTATCTAGATTTGTGTGTGTGTGTGTGATTTGTTTTTATTTGACCCCGTATGAAAATAAAGGCGCCGGTGCAAAATATATCTTGGCAACGCATGCTTGCAACGCTGCGACTTCTCAATCGCGTTATACACGTCGAGGTGCGTAGTTTCTTCACGACGGATTTGAAATGTTCTGGAAGATCTTGCGAAAAACAAGCGTCACCGGCTCGATTCAATCAGTCGACGTTGAGTTAAAATTTAATTCTAGCGAAGTTAAGCTCAGCGCTTCGTTGTAATTTAGCTAGAATTATATTGAAGCATGCTTTCAACCATTGGCACGAATGTGAAGAATCGAAAATGAGATGACAGTTATTTAGAGTTTTGTTTTACATCATGACTGGCGAGTCTGCTGGGAAGCTGCTTTTAAAAGTTAGTTAGTTAGTTAGTTAGTTAGTTAGTTGGGTTATCATCATTGCACTCCGGACATGTCCATAGGTGCTCAGATCCTCCCCTCAGTATGAATCCCAACGTCCGATGGCTAATAGTACCAGTTCTATGTTGATTAACACGTCTTCTGACGTGTCCGGTGTGCGTCTCGTTTTTTGCTGTGCCGATCTTAATTCCCAAGTCTGCCATTCTGGCGAGTGATGTGGATTCACTGCCACCAAAGTCCTCTATCCTTCCCATTTCTCTGAGGGCATTGATAATATCAGCATGATCCATAGGCCGACCGTCGGTAGTGATAGCGGATCCAGCCAACCTGTCAGCTCTTTCATTTCCATCGACGCCTGCGTGTCCCGGAACAAAAATAAAGGTGACTCCTCGCACAGTGGACTTCTGAATTGATTCAAGCCATTGTCTTCGCACTGAACCTGCCTGAACCCTCCGGATCATACTCATTGAATCACTGAGTATACATATGCGGGTGTATTTTTGTGTTTCAAGCCAGGCAAACGCTTGCGTCACTGCCATCACCTCCATCGTCATGCTGCTGGTTGTCATGGAGAAGGCGCCGTTGGCTTCTTTGACTGTTCTGCCCGCTGAGCGTGCTGTAAATGCCCATGCGCTTCTTCTTTGGCGTATAACTGATCCGTCTGTATAGATTAGTGCATCTGCTTCGTCTGAATTTTCACCGATGAGAGCGTTGACCTCTGCATTAACAGCAACAGGATTATCTTCTCTACATCGCCTGTTGAGTGTGACAATACAGGAAAATGTACAAATAAACGCATGAGGCACAGGTATCCATTCTGCACCAGGTATGATGTCGGTTAGGCTGCATATTTGCCTAATAACATCTTCTGCCCGACCTAGCCACGATTTTCCCCTCTTCAGTCTGTCGCCCTTTTCACTAAAAAGCGCTTGATGCAGTGGGTGTTTCTTATCAGCACATATTTTGAGGTATGCCCGAGCCCTCCACATCCTGATCCTTTGGTTCATTGTTGGAAAGTCAAGTAGATACCTCATAGCTCCACAGGATGTGTCTCTAGTACATCCCAAAATAATACGCATGGCTTCATTTTGCACCTTCTCGAGTCGTTCAATCTGGGTAGCACTGACAGTGAGGATGGCCAGAGCGTATTCAATGGGGGAAAGGACCAGACCATAGAATAGAAGCACCAGCAGTCTTTGCTCGATATTGGAAGCAGCCATAATCCTCATTGCAGATAGACCTTTGCGTGCTTTTGTTATCGCATGGTCAACGTGTTCCCTGAATGACAAGCTGCGATCGAACCTCACCCCGAGAAACGTCATAACGTTGGTTCTGATCAATACATTATCACGCATTTTCACTTCTGGTAAGTCCGACTTGACAATGTGATTGTTCAAAGAGAACCATGACACTGATGCCTTCGAGGGATTGACATAGGCATTGGAACCATCACACCAGGCGGCAATTCGATTGAGTTCTTTGTGCATTGTGCTGGCGATCTCCTGTCTACCACGCCCTCGTCGATAAATCAAAATGTCATCAGCAAATGACAAAGTCCTTCCCTTTCCATTCAACTGCTGCTCAGTGATCATCACCGTATAAACATTGAATAAGACTGGTGATAGCGGTGATCCCTGTGGCAAGCCTGGACATATCGTTTGCGGTTCTGAGGACCAGCTACCACATCTTAGTACAATCTTTCTCTGGAACAGGACCGCAGCAATCCAGCGGATCAGAATAGGATTGACTTCTAGTTTAAGCAGTAATTGCATTAAATAATCATATGGTACTTTATTGCAGGCATCTTCTAAGTCCAACACTGCCGCACATGTCTCTTCTTTAATCTGAAATCCCTCGTACACATCGTAGGCGAAAACAGCAGCATTGGACCATGTCTCTTTCTTCAATCTGTACCCTCCAAGTGTTGATGGGAACTTATCATGTAGTTCCAAGTAGGTGGTCAATCTTTGTGCGACAATTTTTTCCAAAAGTTTGCCAACAGTATTCTGCATCGAGATGATTCTGTAGCCGCAGATCTTTGAGTGGTCTTTATTAGGCTTTGGTAGTGGAAACAAATAACTATGGAGCCATTCCTCTTGTATCTGGCCACTCTGGATGCTGATATTGAATTCCTTTGCCACGCTTTTCAAATCAGCATTCGACATCATCAGCATGTCATTGTATCGGATGCCGTCAGGACCTGGAGCAGTGCTGCGCGATTTCTTGAGGCAAGTTCTTAAGGTGTCTGCAGTGATTGTGAAATCAGTGCCTAGCTCAGTGTTCTCGCACAGCATCGACAGTTTCATCTTAACCCCTATTCTTGCAGCTTCGTCTTTTTGGTCAGTTTGCTCCAAGTAGCGCGCAAGGAGGGTTTTTCCTTTATCAGCATCAGTTCTCTGCCATATCAGGTCTGTACCCTGAAAATCAGGGATACCCCTTGGTCGTGCGGCGCCGTGCATGCTCCGTTGAAGGCGCCAGAATGTCACAAGAGATCCCTCGGAGCAAACGCTCTTGCAGAATTCGTTCCATTTCGCTGTCTTGGCTTCTTTCGCAATTAACTTGAAAGCCACTGTCCGCTTGTTGACCTCATCTTTCAGACTGATCAGGCGTTCAGAAAGTGACGGATCAATTTTCCTTGCCTTTTGCCATGCCTTGACAGCGTTCCTTTTTTCTAGCCACGCTATGTTGACTACTTCATTCCACCATGGTGGCTGGGCCCATCTCTCCCGCCGTCTGCGATCTGCTCTTGTATTACGTCGTCTGATTTTGCTAATGGCATCTTGCCCTGTACGGTCATATATAAAAGCAGGCACATTGATTACATGACCTTTGTTGTTGCTCTTCTCCACCAGGACGACGCACGGAAAGTGATCACTGTCATGGTATCCCAGTGTGCTCCACCTGCATCCTGGTGCAATGGAGGGAGACACTAGGGCCAGGTCAATTACGCTGTCAGAATCCCCTTGTCGGGTTGCCATTCGGGTAACCTTTCCGTCGTTCAAGCATACTAGATCGGCAGACACTAGAGCATCCTCCAGGTCTTCCCCCTGTTTATTGGTGATTACATTGCCCCACTGGTGTCCTCTGGCGTTGAAATCTCCGCAGTAAAGGACTTTCTTTTCCTCAGTCTGGAGCAAACTCTGCCATTTCGCTGTATCCACCTTTCCATTGCAGGCGTACACATTGACAATCACAAACTGGGCCGGGCCCATCACTCTGACTGCGTGTACTTGTAGGTCGTCATTATCCCACTCAGACATGTCCACCTCAGACACCAGTATGTGGTCACGAACAAGAATGAGCTGTCCGAGGTGCCGTCTATTGTAGAAGGATTGGAAGCCCACAATTTTAACCATCTCGTCACCGAGGTGTGTTTCCTGTAGGACAACAATGTCGTTGCTGTAGAGGAGCTTCTCGAAAATGGGTCGGCGTTGACTGAACGAGGCGCAGTTCCAGTAGAGAACGCGAACATACTTTAAGCTGAGTCTCTCACATTTCAGTCGTTTCCTGCAGGCGCCACCGTGCTTGCCTGTTCGCGTTCTCCTTGTCCGTCTACGGGTTGTTTTGAATTGGTAGATAGTCGCCATCGGACGTTGAATACACCCTGAGGGAAGTCTGAACTCACGTGCATGTACTCCATTGCACGGTTCAGACCCCATTCCGATGAAACTTTCACATTATACGTGAGCGAAAATAGTTAATTTGCGCCATTCGCCTCAACGGACGAAAAAGCGTGCCGCCATTGTGGCTAAGTGTCTTTGTCCAAAAACACAATTAGTCGGAGAATACAATATATGGCGGAGGATATCAACGATAAATTATTATTTTTTTTTTAAATAAAGGATTTGAATTTCAGTTAGAAGAGGTTACTGATAATAATAATAATGATGCTCATTTGATATGCTATGTACGGTTTATAGATGGTGATAACAAAAAACAAAAAAAATCACTGCAGAAGCGAGAGCTCAGGAAATGTTCGAAGTTCTTGATACATTCATATCTAAAAGTAATTTGAACTGGCCTAAATGCTGAACTTGATGGAGTTCGCTCCAT